CCCCGTGACCTCGGGTTGACCTTGGGGGCGGGGCACAATGCGGTGGGAGGGGTTTGCACGCCCCGGTGGGATTTGCACTCCCTGAACTTTGTCCTTGCACGCCCCGAGGGAGGGTTTGCACACCCTGTGCACACCCACATCCCTCAGGGCGTCCCACAGCACCCCTGCACCCTATAGGCGACCCCAACACCCTATAGGGCACCCTACAGCACCCCTGCACCCTATAGCACCCCACAGGGACCCTGCACCCTATAGGGTACCCTATAGCACCCCAACACCCTATAGGGCACCCCAACACCCTATAGGGTGCCCTATAGCACCCCTGCACTCTATAGGACACCCCACAGATGCCCAGTACTCTATAGGGAACACCAAAGGGAGCCAGCACCCCATAGGACACCCTATAGCACCCCAATACCCTATAGGGCACCCCACTGGGACCTGCCACCCTATGGGGCACACCATAGCACCCCAACACCCTATAGGGCACCCCATAGCAGCCCACAGGGACCCTGCACCTCATGGCACACTCAGTAGTGCTCTGCCTGCACCCCAAAGGCACCGTGGACCCCATAGGGCACCCTATAGGGACCCCACACCCCATAGGGCATCCTATAGGGACCCCACCCCTCATAGGGCACCCTATAGGGACCCCACACCCCACAGGGCACCCTATAGGGTCCCCACACCCCACAGGGCACCCTATAGGGTCCCCACACCCCACAGGGCACCCTATAGGGTCCCCGTACCCCATAGGTCACCCCACAGCACCCCAGGGCCCTCCCAGTCCCCCTCAGCCCCCCCCATTCCTGTCCCCCCTCAAGGACGTGGCGGGAGCATCCGGCAGTGCCGTGACAACCATCACCAGGGAGACAGGCCCGGGCGTCTCCATGGCAACGGGTACCCAGCCCCGGCGGCACCATGGCAACAGGCCCTGGCAACGCGCCCGGAGGATGCTGTCGCCACGGTGACACCGGCGGTTGTCCCCGGGTCCCGGGAACGTGTGCGAGGGCGTGTTGGCACAAGGGCGGGGTGGCACGAGAGACACCCCCCCCCGGGCCACGCCCGGCTGGCACTGTCACCGTCACCGTCACTGTCACTGTCACCGCGGGGACACCCAGCCCACGGCAGGGCGTGCCATCGCACCGGGGCGTGCAAGGGTGGGGACAGGCAGGGACACGAGGGCGTGTGGGGACACCGGGACGGGTAAACACGAGGGGTGACATCGTGTCCCCAAACCCCCGAGTCCCCACAGCAGGGTCACGTGTGTCACACGAGGGCACACAAGGGCACAGGGACATGCAAAATGGGGGTGGGGGAGGACACTGAGGGTGTGAGGAGTGGGGACACTGGGGGGGACAAGAGGACATTGAGCTCGGCGGTGACAGCACAAGGGCGGGGTGGCACAGCACAAGTGGAGGGACTTGAGGACAGGGGGACACCGGGAGGGACAAAAGGACATTGAGGGATGTGAGGACAGGGGGACACCGGGGGGGACAAGAGGACATGGAGGGACTTGAGGACAGGGGGACACCGGGAGGGACAAGAAGACATGGAGGGACATGGGGTGGTCACATGTGGGTGTGAAACATCACGAGGGCAAAGAGACACACCAGGACACGAGACATGGCAGGAGGACACGAGGACACCGGGTGACACGAGGATGGGTGACACCAGGAGGACACAAGGACCTGGAGAAGCACATGGGTAGTGGTGTGAAAGGACATGGGGTGACACAAGGGCAAGAGGACAGAGGGATGCGTGGCACCAGCAGGACATGAGGACACGGAGCTACTCAAGGACACAACGCCAGGAGGACACAGAGGGGACACAAAACCCCACGAGGGTGGAAGAACAGGGGAGCACCGTGACACGAGGACACCGTGACATGAGGACACCGTAACACGAGGACACCATGACAATGACCAGTCAGACGCCGTGGGTGTGTCCAGTCCCACGAGGACAGGAAGGACACAAGGACACACAGTGCCATGAGGACAAAAAGCCACGGAGGAGCTCAAGGACAATAACACGAGGACACCAGGAAGTCATGGAGGAACAAGGAGCACCCAAGGCCCAACACCACGAGGATGTGGGGATTTGGAGGACACGATGACACGGGGACGTGGGCATGTGGAGGACACAATGACATGACGATGAGGGGATGTGGAGGACACGATGACACGGGGACGTGCGAGGCCAAGAGGACACGGAGAAGCACAAGCACACCCAAAACCAGGGATGGAGAAAACACAAAGCCACCCAACGCTGTGAAGGAGGACACGAGCACATGGGGACATGGAGAAGCACAGCCATGAAGATGGACACTCCACGGAGAAACACGAGGAGGTGACAACAGGACACGCAACGCCACAGAGCTGGAGAGACCCTCAAGGACGCGATGACACCGAGACATGGAGGTGCCCAACGAAACCATGGAGAAACACAAGGCCATGAGAACTCCGAGCTGCACCCACCCCACCCCTCCCTCAGCCCTGCCCCTCTGCCCCCGCCGCTCCCTCACCTTCCTCGCAGAAGGGCCCGCGGTGGCCGGTGCCGGCGCAGTCGCAGCGGGGCTCCCCACGGCGCAGGGTGCAGCGGCCGCCGTGGGCGCAGGGCGGGTGGTGGGCGCAGCGCTCGTCCCCGTCACCCCGGACCCCCTGGGCGCCCAGCAGCGCGGCCGGCGCGTCGCCCACCCGCAGGTCGGCCACCCACCCGCGGAAGGGCGGCTCGTACTTGACGGTGCTGAGCGTCAGCGCCGAGAGCCGCACGTCGGGCGGGATCCCCCCGACGAACAGGTCGCTGGCCACGGCCATGTCGGGCCGCTTGGAGCGCACGGCGGCCGCCCGCGCCTCCCCGTCCACGGCCAGCGCCGCGTGCCGCGCCTGCCGGGTCAGCAGCACCGCGTGCCAGCGGCCGTCGCTGACGGGCGCCGGCGGCTCCAGCGTGGCGGGCTCGGCGCAGGCGATGGCGAAGCGCAGCCGCAGCCGCCCCTCGGCCACCAGCAGCTCCAGGAAGTCACAGTTGCCGCCGTCGTCCAGGTAGAGCAGCAGCGCCCGCGTCACGTTGGTCTTGAGGCGGAAGCTGAGCTGGCCCCCCGCGCCCGGCGCCCACCGCCCGTAGCGCGCCCACTGCCCCGGGGCGCCCCCAAACTCCAGCGCCGAGCCCCGGGCGCAGGGCAGCAGGAGGGACCCCAGCGTCAGCAGCACCAGGCCCAGGCGGGCGCCCGAGGGGATTTGGGCACACGGGCGGGGGGCTGGGGTGGCCCAGGTGGGCACGTGGGGTTGGTGGCACTCGGTCCCCGGGCAGCTTCCCTTGGCCGTGGCGTCCAGGGGGACCCTTGGGTCCGGAGGGCCGGGCTTGACCTTGGTCTCTTGGGGGTCCGCGGGGCTGTGCTCGGCCACGGAGGCTTGGTGGACGTTCCAGTCTGTAAGAACCAGCGGGGCTTGGTCAGCCTGGCTGTCCGGGTGGTCCAGGGGGTCTCGGGGGTCCTCGGGGGCTCGGGTGGCCACAGGGGCTTGGTGGACCCTCAAGTCTAAACACACCACGGGGTCTTCATTGACCTTGGCTTCCAGAGGGGCCGCGGGGCTTTGGTTGACCTTGGTCTTTTGGTTGGCCACCGGACCCTGGGTGACCTTGGGCTCTTGGGGGTCCATGGAGGCCGGGGAGGGGGCGGGGTCTTGGTGGTCCTTCAGGTCTAAGCGAGCCATGGAGGCCTGGTTGACCTTGGAGTCCAACGGGATGTTGATGTCGGGCTCTGGGTGCTCCTGGTTGCCCACAGAACCTCGGCTGGCCGCCGATTCCTGACGCACCTCCACCTCCAGGTGGTCCTGGGTGGCCACGGACACCAGGTGTGTCACGGGGACCTGGCCGACCCAAGCCCCCAGGTGCTCCTCAGAGCCTTGGGAGATCTTGGAGTCCAACAGCACCGCGGAGCCACCACCAGCACCGGGCTCGGGGTGGTCCTGCTTGCCCACAAAGTTTTGGTTGGCCACAAAGCCCAGGTGAGCTTCAATCTCCACGTGGGAGCCCAGGTGGGTGACAGAGCCCAGGTGGGCCGTAGTCTCCCGGTGGTCCTGGCTGACCGCAGAGGTCCAGCTGGCCGTGGACCCTCTGGTGGCCACGGAGCCCAGGTGGCCTTTGGTCTCTTGGTGACCCTCAGAACCTTGAGGAACCGTGGAGCCGTGCAGGGGGCCCAGGTGGGCCACGGAGCCCAGGTGGGCTTTGGTCTCTTGGTGGCCCCCGGGTGCCGGGTGTCCCTCAGCGGCCGGACAGGTCATGGCGCCTGGGCTGGCTGCGGAGCCTGGGCGGCTTTGGGGGGGCCCTGGGGGGGCCCTGGGGGGGGCCCGGCCACCCCCGTCCTCTCACAGCCACATGGGTGGCCCCAGCGGGCGGCGACAGCCTGGCCGGGGGGTCCGGAGGCACCTGGGGGGGGGAGAGACAGTCAGGGGGGGCTCTGCAAGTGGGGGGGTGGTGACAGCCAGGTATGGGGGGATGGGCAAGCAGCCCCCCCCCCCCCCCTTCTTTTTCTCCCACTAT